AATGATTCAATGTTTCACTTTTTGATATGAAAAAAGTAGATTTTCAATAATTTCCACACGCATTTGATTTTAGATTTCACGGTTTATCGCACATTGTTTTTAAACCAATTTGGTAAGAACAAACGATAAACTGAAATATCTCGCTCATATATTAACCGCGAGGTGGATTTATAGATCTATGCACATTCAATCATCGAACTATATTCATTAAACTAATAGTTTATTAACCCTTTGAACCCTGACAACTGCTTTACCGGTGGTACGGAAAAATGACGTAATTCCTAACCACCGGTTGAATAGTGGTGGAGAAAAATAACTTAATGCCTAGCCACCGGTTGAACGGTAGGTAAACACTTGTAAGTATTTTTATATCTACCTTGAAACATTACATACCAATTATTTGCGAAATTTTACTCAGGAGCTCAGGCAGAAGGGTTAAAATTGTTCCGGAACGCCGGGCTCAAAAGGGTTAAAACAGTCAAAAGTTTCTTTATCTTTCGATATATAGATGATGTCTAATTACTATATACTGCAGAACATTAAATTGTAAAACCAAAAGAGAAACACACGTCTATAAATTTAACAAATTTATTTTAAAATGTTTGAGAAACAGAGGTTATAATTAGAAAACATGAAATAATGTTAGTTCTTTAACGATTCCGATGAATCTTTTTTAAACGCTTTATGAATCTTTTTAAAACGCTTTATGACTGATATTTTACCCCTCGTTAATAACCACAGGCCCCCATTGTAATCCAAGAAAGTTATTCTAGTTTAAAGCTGGATCACAATGACTTTGAACTATGACTTTGAACTATGACTTTTCCATCAACTAGCAGACAAATTATACAATTGGCCAAGCAGATGCATTATCCAGACACATGAATTCTAAACACAAACACCGGAAGACAGAGTCGTTATAGCTGCATCCGTGGAAACCGAAGACATTACAATGCTGGAATACACAATCAAATTACTTCCGTTTCCTTCAGAAATGGTCCATCATATCCAACTGCTTGTGATCCTTTGCTGCAAAATGTTATCAATTTCCCACCGCACATATTGCCCCAAAGTGTGTCCCAATCGATAACTTCGACATTTTTACGACAAGGAGTCGAAGGGTCTATTCTTTTCGCCTAGCGATTGGTGCTTTTCAAACAATTCTATTTCGGACACAAGGAAATTAGACGCATAAGTTTAGTATGCAGCTATGTTTATTGGCCGGATATGGTTTGGTTTTGTTTATTTTACGGTATATCAACCTCAATGGGTTATTTAATGTCGACAAGATTTTTATTGCTGTTATATATTTTTTTATCTATCTATCTATCTATCTATCTATGTCAGTATATATTGGTGTCGTTTGTTTTGTTTTACGGCATATCAACCTCAATGGGTTATTTAATGCCGACAAGATTTTTATTGCCGTTAATATTTTTTCCCAAAAATGTATTGCTGGTATATTATCCTTTTTCAAAAATCTACTGCAGGTTATAATGTATTGCTGGCAATAATTTTTCCCAAAAGGTATTGCTGGTATTAAAACTTATTTTTATATTTTTCATAGTGTTTCGAGCCCTTCATTTTTTTGGTGAGAGTAACTCTTTGCCCATAGCTGGGACCCTGACAGGTGCTACCACACCGGGTCAGATTGGACCTGGGAACACCAGCAATTAAGTGTTGGTTCCACGTTACTCAAACCCTCCTGATCAGAAACTTTGCTGTAAGATGCTGATATAGTAGGAGACAGAGTAAATACCTAGTCTCTGTGTAGTCCGCCATATCAAATGGTGTTTTTTTTTCCTACAAAGGAAGACGAGAGTTTGGTCTTTCCTGGGGAGTACAGTTTCTGTTTCAAGATTTCTTCAATGCGCAGAATGATATTATACATATAATTACGTAATAATGCCAGAGTAAAAATAAATGCATTAATTTATATTCAGGGTGCGATGGATAAATTGTCGTATAAAAAATATAAAAATCCATTGCAGCCTATATATATATATATATATATATATATATATATATATATATATGTATATATATATATATATATATATATATATATATATATATATATATATATATATATATATATATATATATATATATGTGTGTGTGTGTGTATGTATGTATGTATGTATGTATGTATGTATGTGACGATCGCAAAAGCGTGAAACCCAGGGTCACAAACTCACATCTATCCAACCAAATATGTTAGCTCTATCTCTGATATTGAGCGCTTTCTAATAAGTACCGTGCATATAATATATAAATAATTATATATGTATATATTTATTTATATTTATATACACACACTTTTCACATATATATATATATATATGTGAGTGTGTGTGTGTGTATATATCTCTCTCTCTCTCTCTCTCTATATATATATATATATATATATATATATATATATATAGGCTGAAATGTATAAATTGTCGCCATTTTATATTTTTTAATATATATATATATATAATTATTTTTTATAAAAAAAAATTATAACATAAGTATGTTATAAAATCAGTACAAAATAGCCATTTTGTTTCAACACACTCTGTGTCTTATCAAGTGATGATGTTGAAAATAAAATAAATAAACCATTTATTTTATTTTCAACATCATCACTTGATAAGACAGAGTGTGTTGAAACAAAATGGTTATTTTGTACTGATTTTATAACATACTTATGTTATAATTTTTTTTTTTTAGAAAAAATAATTATATCTGCTCTACTTTGTATTGAGCACTCTTTTAAGAATAGTAATTGTTGGTTATTGGAATTCATTCCGTATATACCAATTATATACTTGGGTATATATATATATATAATTTAAACTTTATAATTTCACGTCATTTTTGTTTAATTTTGTAGATATATCTGTTCAATTGAGATTTCAGTATTATATTAAATTTTTGGTAATTTGACTGACTTTGTTATGCACGCTGCCTCAGAAACTGCAACTGAGATCGACTCAGCATAGTTGCAGCATAAACCACAGCTGATCTTTGTCAGTGTCGAACAAAGAGAAATGCGCAGGAGCATGAGCAGGCGTTTCTGCAAAATGAAATGACTAGCAGCCCTCGTTGATAGGTATACTCGGATATGAGCGACTAGCCATTACTTACTTAATAAGTTGTGAATATGCCAATGAAGATGAGAATAAAAGTTCGAGTAATGTAAATAATGCAAGTAATCATAATATCATTTCAGAGATATAGACAGATACTTTTGGCTATTAAAATTAAAGAATATAGTCTTATTTGGAAAAAAAAACGTGATTTGACCAAGATCATAGAGCTGCCTTTCTTAAAATAACTATTGATATAATGGGGGGATGTTTTAAGACAACAAGGAGAAAAGTATAAACCAAAATCTGACTTGGTTCAAATTTCTGACACATCGGATGCCAGAAATTTAAAAATCAAAGATAAACGTTCCTACATTTTCAGGCTTTCTCTCGATGTATAATTATAACCCACGTTTTGTTTGTATATCGACCTTTATGCTTCCTAAAGGCATTATTTTGTCTGATGAAATCATTTTGATAGACGAAACTCGTCACAGAGAATTACTTCATTTTGTCAATAAACTACCCACCGTTTATCTGATATATATATATATATATATATATATATATATATATATATATATGTGTGTGTGTATATATATGTATATATATATATGTATATGTTTATAGATATGTATATATATATATATATATTTATATATATGTATATATATATATATATATATATATATGTTTATATATATGTATGTATATATATATATATATATATATATATATATATATATATATATATATAGAGAGAGAGAGAGAGAGAGAGATAAATAGAGAGATAGATAGATAGATAGATATACAATGTGTGCCAAAATAATGTATAGAGTCTTTAGATATATTAATAGTTAATAATATATTACCGTGATGTGAGAACTTATATGGATGAAAATATGCCAAACAGATGGATTGGAAGAAGAGGGACAGTTGAATACCCACCTAGATCACCAGATTTGACATCCTTGGATTTCTTTTTGTGGGGGTTTCTAAAAGACAAAGTTTACAGCATGAAACCTGAAACAATTGCTGAAATGAGACTAGCAATTGAAGAAGAATGTGTTCAAATACCAGAGGAAATGATACTGGACGTTTCTATTTCTTCAACATATGAAAAGTCTATTGAATAGAACGGCAACCAGTTTGAGCACTTGATGTGAACTCATCATTATATGAACATTCTGCCACTGCCCCAAGTAGCTTTATCTTATTAAAGTTAATTTTCTATGTTTTTTGTATATTTTACTCTCAAATTCTTTAAATGTGTATTCTTTCTCTTGTATTAATCTTATTTACAAGTCAAAATACATAAATTGAATAAGTTATAACGATTAAAAGATTGTATACATTATTTTTGGACACCTATATATATATATATATATATATATATATATATATATATATATATATATATATATATATATATATATATATATATATATATATATTATATATATTTGTGTGTGTGTGTGTGTGTGTGTATTCTATTTATTTATTTTTTATGCATACACTTATTTGGGTAAATGCTCTTCATTAATTAAACAATATTAGTTATATTTACCGACCTGAATGTTCGAGAAATTTCGTAGAAAATATGCGTTCTCCGGTAGAAATTGAAACTGCATCATATACGGAACCACCATTAAGTCCATTAAGCTTGTCTCGTTAAAACAATTACGATTGAGTAGTGAGTTCGATTCTCACTGGATGCCCCATACTTTCGGCCTTGTGCCACATCTGAGCTACGCTTGGAAAATCACTATTCTAAGACATGAAAAGAGCAAAGAAAATAATTAAAAGAACATAAATGGAAAGAATGATAGAAACAAATAATTATTTTAAAATAAAGAAAGAAAGAATGTAGAAAGGAAGAGGTAAAGAAAGAAAAATAAAGAAAAGTTGGGATAAATACAGAAAAACGATAAAAAAGAAAGAAAGAGAAACGAAAGAAAGAATAAGCGAAAGAAAGAATGAAAGAAATCGGAAGCGTGGGATGAAGAAAGAAAGACGGAAGGGAGAAGTAAATAAAGTAAAATAAAGAAAAAAAAGGAAAAGGTGGGATAAATAATGAAAAACGAAAGAAAGAAAGAAAGAAGGAGAAACGAAAGAAAGAATGAAGGAAAGAAAGAAATAAAAACAAAGGTAAAAAAAGGAAAGCATTTTGTATTCTATTTTAGCCTCATGCACCGGATTCGAACGAAATCTATTCAGAACCTTGATTCAGAATAGACAATTAAAATAAACTATTGATAAACTATCTTATATAGTTTTATTGGACAATCGAAGGGAAAATATTCCTTTCTTAATTCAGTAAACTTATCACCTTGCGATCTCTGAAAGTTTACTTTGATGTATTGACCACATATGTTTACTGTAATCGCTTTGACCAAAAAGAAGCCTTCATGAAATATCGTTAACTTTTTGCGCATGGCGTTTATACTTCTCAAGAGACAACTCATAAAACCAGAGTATCATTCAATATAATAAATAAATAGGGGTAGGTTCATAAAACGTGTGTATATTTTCTGGCTAGCAAATAATAAGAGTAGACTGGATCTCCTTCAGCCAAAATCTGTTACAATTGTGATAACGTCAAATTTATCTTTATCATCCTCAGAGTAATGTTAATGGTAATATTAAGCTTCCTTATAAGGAAACATTCAGCATTCATTACTACTTGAGTTTCACTTTTCCTCACATTCTGGCCATCAGGCTTGATCCGAAGTGTAGTATCTGATCCTCTCATCTATAATAGTAATGGTTACCTTATAAGGAATCATTTAGCATACATTCATTCATCGAACAAACAGCGCTGCTGCTGGTTGATATCTACGAACGATATAAAACAGTTTCTGAGTATCTGTCTATATATCTGAGATGAGGTATTATGTACACTATTTACATTATTCGGACTATTGTCCTCATCTTTGTCGCCATATTTATTACAACGTTTTGGACTTTCAATATCTGTCTATATATCTGAGATGAGGTATTATGTACACTATTTACACTATTCGGACTATTGTCACTGCATATTAACAGCATCTGCTCCTCAATCACAAATATGAATATATTCCTCCAAAATCTTTAAAATCTAAACTCGATTCAAAATTCCAGGCAAAAACGAGACAATTACTGAAAGAGAAGACTAATTATTAACTAGAAAGACCCCTGAAAATTTCACGGATTTCGTATTTAAATTTTCTAATGAATCTTTTCACACTTATGTTAATGACTGAATAAACTCATGGCGAGTTCTACGACAATAAAATATCCGTAAAAATTCCCTGAACTCATCGTTAGATATTTGAGCAATAACAATAATAACAATAATACGAGTAACAACAATAATAACAATCTTAAGAATAAAAATAGTAAGAATAATAACTTTAATAACAATGAAAACAATAACAATGATAACAATAATAATAACGATAATGATAACATTAATAACAATCTTAATAACAATAATGATAATCATAATATTAACAGTAATAACAATAATAACTTTAATAGCAATCATAACAATAACAATCATAACAGTAATAACAATAATAACAATCTTAACAATATTAATAATCATATTAACTGTAATAACAATAATAACTTTAATAGCAATCATAACAATGATAATCATAACAATAGTAACAATAATAACAATCTTAACAAAAATAATAATCATAATATTAACAGTAATAACAATAACTTATAATAGCAACATAACAATAATAACAACAATAACAATAACAATCATAACATTAATAACAAAAATAACAATGATAACAATAGTAAGAATCATAATAATAATAATCATAACAATATTAACAGTAATAACAATAATAAATTTAATAACAATTATAACAATGACAATAATAACAATCAGAAAAAACATTTGCCCCCAAAATTCTTAATATTACAATGATAACAATAACAACGTTCATAAATATAAATATGAATACTGGTTGCTATTTTAAGAAATGGATACAAGTGAAATGATTTGAAATTGACAACTTTTATCCATTTCAAAGAAACAGCCGATAAAGTCTTCTGTCTTCGCTTCTTTCTTTCTTTCATCATCTCACTGACATCAAGTAATCTCTTTTCACCTCTTTCTACGCTATCTAAACGGAATAGTCCATTATTTATGAGGTATTGGCAGGAGATGTTAAACATGTTTAACTTCCCTTATTTCTTTCTAGCCAAATTCCCGTCTTACGAACATTTATCTTAATAATAATTCATAAATAATTCAGATATTTTGTTTAATTTATCGTAATTAGATTTTTACCGATTGCCTTGCTCGGTTTCTGTCGTTCGATTCTGTGAGTCTGAAAATGTCGCTTCTCGGCCTTTTGGCTGAGATCAAAGTGTAGTATCTGTTGAGTTTCGGATAGAACACAACTGTAAATATTATTTAGAAGTGCCCAGTTTCAGGAAATAGCTTCATACGGCATTACCTCATTTTTTACACTAAAGTCGTTAGTAATATCGATACCAACGCAACTGACGGTTGTGTGGGTAGGGCTATTTTAGGATCTGGCTCGTGTGCACGCCACCTTGTGTTACACCCTGCCAGCGTGGGCCGTGAAGAAAGTACAATCGCTTCCCGGCCTTTTCGTTAAGATCAAAGTGTAGTATGTGTTCTTATCAGCTTAATATGATTCTATCTCTCCACTTCTATCTACGCTTTCTTTTTCTTACTAAAACCAAATGTCTTTTCCCCTCTCTCCACGTGATCAAAATGCGGAATAGTCCATTATTCATGAGGTATTCACAGGACGTAAACCGTTCAGCAGAATATGCCCTCCAAAGCTAAGCAAAGTATTAAGAATTTGAAAGGAAAGACAAAAATTCTCACGAGCTTCAAAGCACAAGAAAATGTGTCTTTCTGATTCTAAGAGTCCTTTTTTGTTTTTATTTTCTAATTTTGTTTATCTCTCTTAACCCTTGTTCCACCATTTTTTACTCAATGCTGCTAGGTTAGTTATGTATTGTTTTCCTCTTGCTTTCAGTCTGCCTTATGTGTATCGAATTTTCCAAGCTTTCTTTTCCGATTATGTGCTTTAGAGATTTGCACTCGGCTCAAACATTCTATTTCACTTGATCTATAGAGTACCCGCATCTTTAACTATGTGTTAAATAGTAAGGCTGTTTAAAATCATGTGTAGAACACTTGGTTATGATCAAATCCAATACTAATATGACGTGCAATAGTGCAGGACATTTTATACAAGAGCCACTCATGATAGAGGTTTACTGAATGGGGTTGTTGTAAAGGCGTATAAAAAAGGGAGAGTAAGAGGTGAATATTATATGTAAGATAGATAACGGTATAGCCTAGATGCAAAAACGTTTTGTGGAAGAAGCTGTCTAAGTAGTACTTCCTCCTTACCAATGGAATATAGAGAGAATGAGAATGAATCGATTCAGTCTACACGATATGGCTGGTTCTAGCTGTGAACCTCTGGACTGGTGTAACTAAGGAATGTATAGCACTTGGATTTTTGCATGAAAACAGCGATAGCTTAACAAGAGGCTAGATACGTTTCGTCTGTGGGAAAAAGGGATGTAGGGTGGACCATTAGCTCATCACCTACAGAGCCTCGTAAGCGCTATTTAACTCTCGAAAAGCCGGTAAGTGCGTTCAAGTGCGCTGAACTCACGTCAACAGAACGGTTCTTTGAGATTATCTTTGCTAATCACTCGTGGCACTCGATTAACTCTTTCGCATTTGTCTGGGAATATGAAGTGAAAATAAATTCCCTGATCTATAGTGAGATGCTCCATTTTATCGGATTACAACGAATTGGTATTGAATTATTTTCTAAACTATATTTATTTTGATTGTATCATTTAATGATAATTATTCTTTCTTCTTTTTCTTTCTTACTTTTTCTTTCTTTCTCTTTCTCTCTTACTTATTCACTCATCCTTTAGTTTTGGTTCCCTGTATATAGGCATCTACTTTTGTTTAATTACTAAGCGATCTTTTGTGTTGGAACGGCTCTGCAATCGTTACAATAGATGGCAAATACGATCTACGTGTGTGCATCAAATATCTCGGCAAATCAGATACTGGCGCCTTCAAAATACCCTTTCAGGTTCTTGGTTGAGATTTTTTTTAAGTCAAACAAACGTTTTTGAATAGACCGAGCGTTTCGAGGCCAGTCGAGTATCGGTTCAAGATGGTAAGCTTTCACGTTGACAAGTCACCTGGAAAACTTTAAATAAAGACAGTTACCGAACTACAAATACGTGGACGAATGTACGTGATTGAAACAGCTAGTGGAGTCTGCCAATTCTAATCCTTCCGATACCATTTCGTATAACGTTAAAAAGATTCGTGGCTTAAAACCACATCACGTTAAACATCATTTCCCGTACGATCATCAAAATTAAGCAACGTCGGGCTTGGTCAGTAAAAGGTAACAGTAAAACCACCTACATGGCTGACCACTTGGGATTAACATGGATGTGCGGGTGGTGCAAGGTATAATGGCTCAGAATTATTAATCGGAATTTCGAGCTCCAATTCCTGTTGGTACCGTTTTATTCACTAAAGCGCAAATATCATGGCGAAAGGCATGACCCACCTTTTCTACCAACAGCTATAGGTTAATTAATAAGACTTGTATCACTAATACATTAATATCTCAAAAAAAAAAAAAATCTGAGAATCTAAAACTATTTTCTGGAACGCTGGTGTTCCCCAACTGTGTTCCTTATCTTAATAAACGATCTTCCGGACGCCATAGATTCCCAAGTTGGCATCTACGCGGACGACACTACAATTTACTCCTGCCTCAAAAACAAATCTAGTGTCGCTGACAAAACTAACCTGGCCGAGCGTCTCGAAAAGGACCTCCAATCGGTCGTGGACTGGGGCAGGAATTGGCTGGTTAACCTTAAAGCCTCAAAAACAAAACTGCTCTCTATTACTCACCATAGAGAATCATCCCTTCCCCCCCTTAGAATGTCTGACGCTTATCTTCTCGAGAGTTCCTCTTTGCGACTACTTGGCCTCACATTGACTACTGACCTGAGATGGAACAAATACATTGAGTCAATGGCTTCGTCCACCGCAAGTAAAGTTGGCTCCCTGTGCCGCGCCAGGAAATTTTTCTGGCCGGATTCGATCCTTCAAATTTACAAATCAACCA